GGTGTCACAAATTTGAAACCAAAGCTAGTCTTTGCCAGACTGACTTGTCCTCTTTCTGGGTCTTTCCTGTCATCTGGCTGTGGCTGAACCTCCTACTACTTGTGTTGCTTCTCTCATTTTGTCCATCCCTCGTTTATATTTGTGCTGCCTTTTTCTTGCCCAGGGGTATTTGACCCAGCCGTCCTTAGACCCATTTCGTTTCCTCTTCTCCTCCTGTTGTGGCATCGGATCCTTCTCTCTGCTGTGCAGTGACACAGATGCTGGTGACTGTGGTACCACCTCCATCACAGGACTTTGTTCTTTGTGCCTCACCACTTGGAAATCTCACATAAATACCCGTCTTTTCCTCCCGCCTGTGGCTCTTTTGAATTTTTTTCCTGTCAGTTACATTTTTGTAATGCAGTATTGTAATTGCTGCTTTAAATAAAGAACGTTTCAAATTACAGTTTGTGAAATAGGTTTTATAGAAGAAACTTGTATTATCAGTCCTGTTTAGCTACACGCACTCAATGATCATTCTTTCCTGGATGATATTCAGTGGGCCACCTCCACAGAGAAGGTCACGTTATATCTGGTGGCTTATTGTTTTCAAATAATATATCTGTGCATAAATTGGTGGGTGAAGGATTGCCGTGGTATCTTTCACTTAACTGCCGGTGCTGTTTCTCCCTCCGTCCCTCCCGTCCCCCTCGTCCCCGTCTGTGAGAGGTTGTGTGGTCTGATGGAATTGCCGCAGGGTGTCAGCTCAGAAACGTCAGTCCTCAGCTCTGCTCTTGGGTGCCTGTGATGCCAAAGGCATATCCTTAATCTTTCCAGATCTATAAAGTAAATAACATAATTTGTTACTTACCTTGCATGAGCATTAAGAGGATTTAAAGTATGTATGACTATCTCAGAGTGTATAACACCAGGTATGAACGCTTCCTGGTAAGCAGATGATTTTTCATTCTCTTAGCATTTTGAGAAGGTTCTCTTCTTTAGTTATGACTGGCAAAAAACTTGAGTTTAGGCTGTTGGAATCACTGCAAACCATCTCCCAGCTCAAAGTAGCCAAAGATGTCATCTCTTCCTTGTGGACAGAAACACTTTCGGCTGAAGAAATCTTCTGAAAGAAACGCTGGAATACAAGTGGCAGCCCCCTATACTGAAACTAATTTTGTATTTCAAAATTCTTGCCCTTAAGCTATCTGCTACTGCAGGGCCGGCTTTGACTATGGTGTGAAGGAGGGAGGAATTTAAAATGCTGAAAGCCACAAGGAGCTGGCGCAGCATGAAACCACGCTTCCAGTAGCCGCACCTTACTGGGCTAGTCTGGGATTTAGGTGTGTACGAATCCACAGCAGCATCACCGGACTGGACCTTGGGTGCCTGTGAGTGCATGACTGAAAAAAACCATCGGTGCTTGATGATCCATAAATCTGACTTCTCATGGGCTGATGAGGCAGGCGACGCTGGGAAAGAACCCATTTGCCCCTGCTCTGCTATTTTCCCAGAACAGTATCTCCCATGAACGTGTTCTGTCTCGCCGCAGGATGCTGGGTCGCTGGGAATCTTGGAAGGGGTTGAAAAAGCAAAGTAAATCAGGTTGATGGGAAAGGAGTAAAATCTTTACAGCCGTGTAAAATAGCTCCACACTGAAATGGAGTGCAGGGTGAATGCCGGTGCCTGTGGAAGTCAGATTCATGCCACTGGTGAAGCTTCTGGGAAAGTGCATTTTGTCCAGTACGTAAATGTATATCTCTGAAAGCAGTAGCCTGGTCTAGTAGATAGTGCGCAGAGAGGGAGCCAGGGGACCGGCAGTCTTTGCTTCTCTGGCACTGTTTTCTATCATTTGCCTTCCTTATTAAGAAAGTAGGCTTAGGGCAGAAAATTGTCCTACTTCATGTTAGTACAGTGTAATGGGGTCCTGGCCTTAGTGGGGGCTGTGGGTGCCACTGAAATACACACAGTAATAACAGTGGTGACCTGTTCTATATCCTATTATTCTAGTTTCCAGCTTCAGTTACAAGGAACAATTTATTCCCGAAAATGTGGAAGTAACCGCTAGAAAAATATGGTTATAGTTAATTTTCTTTCCCTTTTAATGTCAGCGGTATATAAGCATTGTTTTTCAGAAAGAAAAGGGTGGCCCCTCACGTATGGTAGTGAAGAGCTTTCCAAGTGTATGTAAAGCCATTTGTATGAAATGGCCATCTGAGCAGTTTTTATGGGCTTCTGCGCTTAGAGGATTTCAGAGCTGCCTGCGTGCCGGTAAAGGAGAGAGGCAAAAGTGCATTCTAAAATAGCGTTGCTCTCAGGAGCAGCAGAAGTCCCCTCCGGCGAGTAACAGCTCACAGACCTCCTCCTGCCAGAACAGAAACGTTCTTACCTACAGCTGGTGGTGGGGCAGGTTGGGAGTACAAGCAACCGTAGCAGATTTAGGCATCTACAAGGAAAATACACCAGAATGGCAGAAAAACAAGGGATTTTTGCAGTAATGTGTCATTGCAAAGCTTTAAGAATCCAAGACCCAGGATTTTCCTGTCATATCCTCAATTCCTAAGCGCTATTAGCTGAGACAACTTACAAATGGTTGGACGAGTAGCCTAAAGGAATTGTTGGCCTTTGCCAAGATAGATAGAAAGAGTTACATAGAGGATTCAAGTGAATCAGTCACCACAGTGTGTAGGTGTCAGGATGGATAACAAGCCTTTATTCTCTTTCTAGAACTGCCGTAGACTGTAATGGGATGAGAAATATCAAACAAAAACAGACTGACCACACATTGCCTGTAGTAACAAGCAACAGCCTGGCAAAATCAAACTGATCTAGTGGGGTAGGGGATGGACTTAACAGCACATCCTTAAATTTTTTGTAATGTGGCTCCCAATTCATGAGGGTATTCAGATGGTACAAAACTGGAGAAGGTCTGACTGTGCTGTTTGTGGTAGAAAACCATTCTCCAACAGCTATTATTTCAGGTCATAGGAGTAACTGCAACTCAAGTGAAGGATAATTTGGAGTACTTCTGAGTTTGACTTCAAAGGAATAGACTTTTAGCCATTTTCAGGGAAAATTTGTAGCTTTATCTTTTACTTTGTGGTGTGATAGTGTTGGGATTGTATGTGTGATGGCATATAGCTCACCTCTTGTGCAGATTTGATCCAAGATTATAAGAGATGTTGTCAAATAAAGATAGTAATATGCAGCCAACACGTTATTTTATTCTCATGCTCAGGAGTCCCATTAGCGCATTTCAGACACGTGCACACAGAAGTTACCGGTGAACTCTTAACTGAATGGGAAAATTGGTGGACGCAGCAGAGCAGTAGAGTTGTCACGGAGAAAAAGCTGAAAATTACATGTGTATTTCAAACAGGCAGCATTTTTGCTTGGTAAATATTGTGTTTTGCTGTGGCAAACTAGATTAACAGCTTAGCTGTAGGAAAAGTGAAATCATACTTTTATCACTGCATGTGGTGAGTTTTCTTGTTTTGCATTCATTGCGTCCTTGTTCTATACGGACTCTTCAATATGTGATGAGATGAGAATATAACGCTTTATTCAAGGTCAGATCCTCATCCCTGGAAGTCCATCAGCTAAGGCCCTAGTCAGAACACATCGGAAAGCCCTATAGTCAGTTATGTGATTTGATCGTGGTTACCATTGGGGTCATCCTTGCAGACAGAGATCTTTTAAAGCACATGCAGTTTAACATGTGGGAAGTGGGCAAAAGAATAACCCAGTGAGGCTTTCTACTGTCTCACCAACCTGTGGACTCAACTGAATATTATCTCCCCAAGCAACTGACTTTATGAACAGTAGTGATTCAACTTCTCCTGAAGGTCAGCAACACAGAGTGGTTAAAAGAGCAAAACATTACGGTCTTCTGATGGCAGCACTCTGTTTTCACCTTCGCTTCCCTTTTCCTGCTGTGTTTAAGCCGTACAGGGAGACTTGGCTGACTCCAACAGCAAAAGTGTAGCCCGACATGAGACTGTGATCTCATGTAACATGAATTCATTTAACTTCGTCAAATGCAATGGTGATATTTTTAGGAGTAGTTAAGTATATCAGGAATATAGTAAAGATAGGCTTATTTAGTCCTTAAAGTAGCCATGACTCAAATCTTGTGGGGCTTTCTAAATCAAGCTCAGCGGTTTAAGCTATATCTGGAAAAATTCTGTGCGGCAAGTAGTGAAGTCAGCAGAGCTAAGGTATGTAATAAGCACTACATGGGTAGTTCCAGCAACAGGGGAGAGGGTAGCATTCTGCAAAGGTCCTCAGTTATTGCAGGAGCAAAAGACCCTTACTGTCAGATCACAACAAGAAGAAATACTGTGCAAATAACATTCCTAAATATGTTTCATTTTTAGGCGTGTAGGCTTTACTCTTAAAAAAACCCCAAATTTAATATAGGAACTATGTTGTCTTGTCTGGGCTGCGGAAGAACTCATGCATGGGACAGACTAGATGATGTGGAGGGTGCGCTGTGGGCTGGATTGAGGCTTGTTACGCGCATAATTGTAACCCTGTGTTTACAAAAGCCGGGCCTTCAGCACAGGGAGAAATGCAAAGGTATTCTGCTTTTAGAAGAAAAAAGGTTGTGCAAGTGGTATTGTGGGATATGTAGCTGCAAACTTTTCCATTCATTATTTCGATGAGTAAGGATTGCACCTCCACTTTAAGCTATTTGAGATGCAAATTGTAACTGCTGTTCATTCTCCTGCTTCTGGGTATATGCGGAGTGCTTCAGGAGGGTGAATTCCCCATTACAGTGTAATATGGTAGAACATTAGAGTCAGTTGCATTACACTGGGGGTTTACACCCTATTACTGCTCTGAATTGTCTGTCATTAGCCCTTATTAAAGGCAGATTTGGTTAGATGGACAATTGTCTATTGCAGTTTGATTGCAAATATGTTGTTAGGCTTTCAAATGAATATTTAAAGTGGATCATTGTGCAATTTTTCTATAAATTCTCTTTTTACCTCCTCCTTCTTCTCCCTCTATCTTTTAAGGAGCTTCCACCCAGAATTCCAATGCAGTGGAACCAGAAAAACAAGTTGACAGCACGGTGAAAATGGCCGGAGTTATAGCTGGTCTGCTGATGTTTGTTATTATCCTCTTGGGAGCAATGCTCACCATCAAGAGAAGGTAAGTTTCTGCTTTGCTTCCATCTTGGACCTTCTGGCTAGAGTGTTGTTACTTCAGAAAGAAGAATAAATTTGGTGGAGAGAAAACATTCCATTTGTGTTACAGAGGACAGTAGTTAATACCTTGCTATGTAACGCTACCGTAAGAAGTCCCAGGAGAGATGCCTGTTCTGGCAGATACTGTATAAGCAACAAACGAATGGGTGTTGCTGCAAAGAGTTAATGATAATGAGTTGACACTTAATGAGAAGAGCTAGCTCATGAAAAAGCATGGAGAAGTACGAAGGGATAACGAGGCAACGGAAGTGGGCATGTGAGCCTATGCAGGGAGCACAACAGTGGTCTAATAGAAGAAAAGAATTCATTCTTAACAGCTGAGAAAAATAATGTCTTAAAATAACGTGATCAAAGGTCTTGTTCCCAAGTGAGTCTTGATGAGTTATATTTTCACACAGTGATTTCTGTGCAGCCGGTATTCAGCTGGAATACGACATCTTGTTGAGGGTTGCAATCTTTCCAAGAGTTAGCTTTAGTTTACAGCAGAATGAAACTTGGAAAAATCATGTATGGTAATGAAATTTGTTCAAACATTTCATTTTGTATTATTTTTGTGGACCATTTGCACTTACACTTTGAAGTAGGCTATGTAGTTGCTACTATGTGAAGAGCTCCACGTTTACCATGTAATATACTGATTCAGAAAACCACTTAGGCGAGAGGTTTTCTTGAGAAAAGGATGTATTTTGTGTATATTTTTGCCAGTCAGATTTTTGAAGTGAACCCTACTTTTCAACAGTAATTTGTTTCTAAATGAACTAGGAGCTAGGTAGCCTGGCAGCCCCTCCTCGAGGGTGCGGGTGGCATTACGTGGGAGAGCCTTGAAGGTTTTGCTTGGTCTGTTGCAGGAAGTGCAGCATTTCAAAGCAAAGCTCTGTTCCTTTGAGATCTCTTATCTCTATGACACACAGTCACACGTTTCCCCAAAAGAAGAGCAGCGGTTAAATCTAGGTGTGATCTCGATCTTGATGCAGAGCACACATGCAAATGGAAAAGCTCTGTGCTGCAGGTGCTGGAGTGCAGGGCGGCTTCTCAGAAGGACCTTGAGAGGCTGGAGAAATGGGCTGATGGGAACCTCGTGGAGTTTAGCAAAGGCATCTTGCGTTGGTGACCATCTCCATCTTTGGAGAAGTTAAAAACGTGACTTGGACGAGGGACTTGCTGCAAGCGGCACTGGTTTAAGCAGGAGGTTGGACTGGAGTCCTTTGAGTGGCCTTTCCAAATGATGTAATTCTGCAAAACTTATCGCGTATGTACTGACTACTGTGAATTCCTCTTGAATTAACTGAAGGTGTGGGGAATCTAGGTTTTTAATCCAATTTTTGTTGTGTGTAAATATTCTGTATTTTGTGGACAAACGTGTATGTATTTTTTAGTCACATCTGATGTGCTTTTGTTCAGTGTTAAGCCCGAACAGTACAGATGTCACCGATTCCAGTCCCCTGGGAGCTTTTCCATTGATAAGCAGAAAAAAATCAGAGGCCTCCGATGAAAAACAGAGAAAGGGTTTCAGCAAAAATTGAGCTGGGTTTCTGTTACCTTCCTAAAAGCTCTTTTAAAAAAAGCTTTTAGTTTCAGCTTGAAAGATAAAACTTGTAAGGAAAGCTCTTGGAGCACTGCCACGTCTGAACACCCTGGTGTATTTCACAAGCTATTAGAAGTTGAGAGCATTGCTGTCCTGTAATGCATTATTATTATAAATCACATATATTGCTCAGCAGAAAACAAACAAAGATTTTTCATGATGACCAGGAATCCCTTATTTGAGGACAGTTTTTCTGTGGTGTAGTCTGCCAACAGCTAAGTCAGAGAGGTAAGGATACTCTTATGAGGCAATGTGCTTTAAATATTAAGGAGGCAGTATTTGTAATCTCTGTATTTTCTCAAATATGGAGTAAGAAGTACAGAATGGGAGGAACTCGGAAGATAGACATTTGGTCAGTGTATGTACACTTACAAATGCTTCAGTGGCAGGGAAGGAAGACAGTAAAACGCGTGATGGTTGTTCCTGTGTGAGAGATGTCTTCAATAGCTTCTGATCAAAAAGGCAATGCAGAAGTCAAATCTTCATTGCAGTAGACCGCAGGCTCATTTTCAGGATTTTTTCACAAACAATGCTGACCCCCTATCTGCATGCCTTAGGTCAGAATTTCCATAAATCTCCATAATTAGTGTTTTCATTTTACTTTCAGACAGTTATATGTGTGGTAGAATATCTCGCTACTTTGTTCACCAAAGGCCTTTTTTTTTTTCCTATTTTCAGATTTCACATCAAACTCCTATTCCCAAACAGTCTACCACATCTCTCGAAATGTAAATGTGGGACTCTTGCTGTTAAACACTGTGATTGCTGCCAATCTATTTTTTGTGTAAATTTGAAAACAGGAAATTTCTCAGAGGTAGAATTATGGGCAAGTAATTTTCTTTCTCCAAACGCTATGTAAGAAATCTTCATTGTTCTCATTCTGATGAAGGCATTGACATAGAGATGTCTTGGTACATATCAATGATTCGGCATCTTTGCTTAATCTTCTGTCTTCCACTGGAAGCTGGAAAACCAGCAAAAAAACCCCGAGTTATAAGCAAGTAGGAGGAATGTTTCAAAGAAAAAGTGAAAATTTACAGTTTATTTAGATTATCAGGTTTTCTGGTTTGGGGTTTTTTTAAATGGACGTATTTTCTTCATAATTATTAGAGGTCAGGAGGAAATTTAGAGACTATGATATAGTTTAGTTAGCAGGTAAATAAAATCAATGGATTTTAGCTTAATTTTTTTTTTTTACTGATGTGTTTGTAACTCATGTAAGTACTGATGGGGAGATGTATCAAGATTGAGCTTTTTCTGATTTTTGATTCTTCTGATGTTTCGACTGTCATGAGTGGTGCAGTATCAGTTGATATCTCATAGACAACAATACACAGACGAGCCCAGAATCAAAAATACTCATAATGCAGAGCAAGTTCTTGAAGCGGGAGTCTGAGGACTCATTTGCTTGATATAAAAAGTCCCAAACTAGCGCTGACGTGAGCTGCCCCCCTAAAGCAGTGCAGATGTTCTGCTGGGAACTAGCCTGGGCCCAAACCCAGCAATTTTTAGTGCATTTGGGTGTCATGTCCCCTGGGCAGAATAGTGCTTTATCTGGCTTTGCCATAGGCTCTGCTAACCTGGGTATCTTTCTTCAAAATTAAAATTGGAAAGGAGGCGAGTGGGAGTATTAGAAATATAAATTCTCCTCTTTTTCTTTCCAGAGCTGGAAAAGTGCATTTTCCTCTGTCTTGTTCTCCCCCCGTTGCAAACAGGCAAAATCACTGCAATCTGTATCTCTCTCTGCCTGTTTGCTGTCGCGTGCAAGGTTACCCCTTAGAATACACACTATTATAAGAAATAAACTGCCTCATCGACTTTAACATCTTCTCCCGTGCGGAAGCTGGAGCGGTGCAGAAGGCGGGTGCGGAGGATTGCTCTCTCTAGGTCTGTGGAGCACAAACCAGCGCCGCTGGCAAACCTGCTGGTGGCACTGGTTCTCGGTCTGCCTTCAGCCGGCACCAGCGGTCACGTCCAGTTGGGGCTTGGAGCTGCATGTGGACAACTGTTCCCTGAAGAGGAACTGAAGCCTGCCAGGCGCATTTCATCTGTAAACTAATGCAGATTGGGACCGCCTTTTATAAAAGGAAATGCCACTTTGGACCACAGATTGATTTGAACTTCTGGAGGGGCACAGCTGAAAATTCGCATTTGTCTGGGAGAACAGTTTAACAACGAAGTTCCCTTTCCGTTTTACAAACAGGAACATTAGGAGCTTAAGCTCTTGCATTCGATTTTTGCATTAACCTTACTTTAAAAAGAGTTCCTCTTTTCACTTTGCTCAGACTAATGCCCCAGTGTACAAGACACTGTGGTCTTGCAAGGCAACAATGCAGAAAAATAATTTAATTAGGCAAACTTGAGGCATTTTCTTCAAATGGAGCCAGAAAATATCAGAGTGACATTTGTTCGTGGTCCAGGGCATCATAGTTCACTGGTAATAGGCACAGTAGTGGATTTCCCGAATGAAGCGTTTCGTTACGCAGTGCAAAGAGCAAAGGAAGGAGAGAGATGAGGAGAGAGAGATGCACTAAGAGAAGGAGGGCGCTGGTTTGAGATTAGAGTTAGGCACAGCATCAGAAACCGCTTTTTGTTTGTGTGACGCACCAAACCAGCATATTTTTTTGAACCTTCCATATGCAAGGCGTGAGCAAGTGTTGCCCAGTTGCTCAGTTTCAATAGACCGTATGGTAAAAACTCCAGCGACTCGCATATTTCTGGGGGCTGCCAATGTTTTATAGGGTTTACTCAGATATGTGAAGCTAAATTAAGCAAGTCAGAATGTTTATGCAGTGTAAAATTTGGGTTTGACTTTAAGTTTGATATCTAAAAGTTTTATTTCGACACTGGGGTCACTTAAAGTCTGCTAAAGTTTCTGTATGTGTACATCTGTGTAAATGTGGTGTGTGTATATATAAATTTCTGTTTTAAATAGAAATGGTTTATAGTATTTAAAATCAAAACCATTAACAAAATTTGTTTTCTTGGTTTTGGGAACCAACTAGCTACACGAGTTACATGGTTGCAGCTCCAATATCATCATATGTATATGGATACACATTACTGCAACGTAATTTAGGCTGTTAATTTACAGATGGTGGTCAGTGCCCACATAAGGCACTGTCTGTTATTAATAGATACACACCTTGAAATACCTCATTTTTATTGTATCAAAACATTGCTAATTCTCTAAGGAGCTTGTTTGTTTGTCCTTGATATTAGTTAAATATTCTCATGTGATAGAGACTATAGGACTGGTTAGTAAAATCAAGCTGAATCAAGAAAACCAAGACATTTGTAAACTTCTTTGCTGGAGAAAATACCCTTTGGCTTTGCTCCCCCAAAGGATTAGATTTTGGTCAGTTCTGATTTCATCTGGACAGTTTTAACTCCAGCATAATCGTGACTTGCATTTCCCTGGAGTGAAGAATGTGACACTTTTCAGGCTTGTGGGTTTGAGCGGACAAAGCCTCCACTGACCCCTTTAAGTGTAAGACTGAATAAATAGGATCAGACAGCCTGTCATGGGTGCACTGTAAATAAGTTCTTTAAACTGCTGTTGGTAGCAAAAGGAGGAGATTTGGGGCCATGTAGGGTCTAGGATTAGTTCCTTCTATGAAAATTCAGCTGCTTATTCTGGATTAGGATTTAGGTTGTTACCTTAAACTAATTAAATAAAACCCAAATGCCTCTTGAGCAGAACATACCCAAGCAAGCTATAGGATAGAATTAACTGAGGGATATTTGCACATTTGGTGACCCGTGTCCATATTTAAGGTGGATGACCGGCAGGGTTTTCAGGTCGTGTGATACATTTTAGGATCCGGTCATGTTTTTAGTGATCCATAACTCTGACCAATTTTAACAGGTAGTTTTGAAATATTCCTTAGGAAGTCCTTATTTTAGGTTGCATATTTGGAGAGAATTTGAGCGAAAATGGCCGGTCCAATTCCAAAATAAAATCCTCCTTTTGTTTGTCTTCCTTTATTTTCTATCCTTCTGGAATAAATCTTTCTGAGCTTTCCTCTGTAGCCTTGAGGGATACGCAGCTTTTTAATGAGAACTGAGAGTCTCGTGTGATCGCATATGTCCGCTGGCTGGGACGTGAGAAAAGCAGAAAGTAGAGCAAGATGTTCAACAAAACAATTACAGTTGATAGTGCTGTGGCAAACCCGGCACTGGTGTGTCAGAGGGGTTTAATTAGTAGAATAATTTTGGGGATGTAGGGGGTTCAGCTGTGTGGGGTCTCATTTTCCCCATCCTGGTGATTTTTCCCTTTGTTTAGAGGCTCAGAGGAACTTGGAATTTCACAGTGAAGCTCAGTGGCAATCGCTCACCTGAACTGGTGCGCTGCTACGGCATGTAGAATTTTCAGGTTTCAGGAGTTTTTAGCATTATGTTATAAATATGTTCAGGTGCACCTTGGAATCGGTGTCATTCAAATAATTTGGCGTCTATCAGGAATCTGGCCAGAATCTCAGGTTTATGGCAAGGGTCACCACCAGGCAAAACATGTCGTTTCAGAGTAATCCTCTTGAGCATCTGTACACCGCTGTCCTTCACCCGGGGTGTGCACGGCAAAGGGGCGGTTGTGCACAGAGAGTGATGGCTCTGTATCCGGTTTCCGTATGTGCTTATGTGTTCAGAGCAACTGTAAAAATGAGAACTGGAACCCTGCATTTATCCTTCTAAGCACTTCCTAGTGTTTGTAGCGTCTTCAGGGATGGGATTTTGAAGTTGTGCAATAGGGTGAAGTTTGTGTTTCATTGTTTTTCCGTGTCTTGGCCATGGCTGCTGCTTTCAAGGCTCCCTTGTGCCTTGCTGTTTATCTGTAATAACATGTGCTAGATCTGGTGTGAAACAGCCTTTCCAGAGAGGCCCTTTTCCAGTTACAAAAGGGAAGACATCACCTCTTCAGTTATAACTGATTGCCAGGGCTCGTTTTGTGGCGCTGCTCAAAAGCATATCAAAATGTTCTGAAGTGTATTGTTGAAAAACTGTAATAGAAGATGCTTAATCACAGTGACGCAGAAAGCTAATGCGTACCCCTAGTGATCATCTATAAATATGGAATGATACTTGAATTGTTAATGAACTATTTGCATTTCAAAGTTTGATGAAGCTTGATTTATCATTACACAATTTGCTCATTGTCTAAATATTCCAAAATTGTGGTGTTCTTACATTGTCACTTTCCTATTTATTGTTATTTATATTAATAGCCCTTACATATTTCTTTCCATTTCAAAAACCTCAAAGCACTTTACAGGCGAAGGTAAGTCTTGTTACCCATGTTACTGACATGGTGAAGTTAAGACACACTTATTCACGGTGACGCAGGTCGGTAGCAGAAGTGGAAACAGAACCTGTGTTTCCTCTTCCCAGTTCAGCATCCGTTCCTCACCGACATATGGCTTCTGAAAAAAGTGTAGGAGAATAGTAGCTCAGTACAAGAGGCAGCACAAATGCTTTGTATATTGAAAAAAAATTCCTAGAGCTCATATAAATCTAATTATGTGTCTTTCTTTTTTCTCCTTTTGGATGTTTTGTTCATGTGACTGGCCGTCGATATTTAGAAGAAATGCGTATTCCTACTCCTATTACTTGTAAGTACTTGGCTGGAGATGGTGCTTCTTGAGTGTGCTTGCCCTGTGGTAATTTTGTTCTTTGTTGTATTCTTTCTTTTTGCCACTTTTTTTTTTTTCCCATTCCATTTCTCCTTGTCTTTCCAGCAGCTTGTGTTTTATTTTCTCAGTTTCACACTGTTGTGTTTGCCCCGTTTTACCGTTGCACCTGTAACTGTGCCTGCAAAGACCTGAATGTCCACAGATATGTCAGTTACGGTTTATAGTTCTTCAAATGCCGGTGGACAAGTACAGAGTGCCCCAACTGCACCTTTTTTAATTGTCCGTTGTATTTAGCCAGCCTGCAGGGAAATTCACACCTCAAAGTTGTTGGGAATTTCTCAGCCATGGATGTAAGCTTTTTTAAAAATGTAACATTTCTGACAACTAGGATTCGACATTGTCTCAGGAAACATCCCCGTTCCTGGAGTTGCCAGGTTCCGAGTGTCAGTTTAGACTGTTGGATGATGAAGTGGTTCCAGATATTCAGGTCTAAATCACCTGTCCAGTCCTAATGACAATGCTGCATAATTAAGGCAGTTGTTAAGACGCATGAAAATACTTCACGCATCAGTACTTCCAGAGCCATCTGTTGTCTCAAGACTGAGGGGCTGGAAAGTAATCAGGGCCAAGCTGTTTCTGCCGTGATAATAGTTGTCTGAGGATCAGGAGGAGGAGAGGACTGGATCAATGATCTGAGGAAAGAGCCCTGGAGAATGGAGTTGGATGCCTTTGGTGCCACCGGAGGGTTGGGAGGGCTGGAGAAGGCAACTGTTGTGGCTGTGAGAAACGAGTCTCAGAAGCAGCAGCCGTATCTCTGACCGAAACCTTTCCCCCAAAGCAGCAACCTGCCAGACTTTCCAGGGCTCTGACATGGACAAAGTTGTCCGAAGGGCCACGTCTGCTCTGCCAGCCCCTCCTACTCTGCACCTCTGGCAATTCCCTCCATTGACTGTTCCTGCAGCTCATCTTGATCTTGGTCTGGTGGTGACTTTGTCCTGTGGGCACAGCTGGGAGGTGTTC